CCCAGGGGCAGCTTGACCCTGTCCTGTAGGATCACTGGGAGTCGGCATCGACTCGCAGGCAGGGGGCTTGGTTTGAGTGAGAGCGGTGTGGAATGGCTACTTAGTTGAACCGCAGCTTTCTGGGGGAGTCTGGAAAGAGACACAGGACAGGGTTGGATGAAGAGGAAGGAGGTTCACAGGCGGTCCAAAGATACCTTTGGGGAGACAGGGAGTCCTCTGAGGTGAAGGGTTTAGTGAGAAACACACTTAGAGCGTGCATTGGGGCCAGGCTGGGCTGGTTCGAGAGTCCATGGTAAGGGATTTGAACTTGGTCATGTGAACCCATGGAATCCATTTGAGGGGTTGGCTGATAAAATCCAGCTGCCACCCTGGTGGTCTCAATTGTGTTTGGGGATCACCTGGAGGCAGAGTAGGCGCATCAAGTGCACTTCAGCAAGTTCACAGACATTATTCTGCAGCCAGTTGGAGGTCAGAGTGCTAACCCAGTGTTGGGGAAACCTCTGCTTTGGGGAATAAATTTTAGCAGCTAAAGAGTGAGGTGACAAGTACCTTAATAGTTATAATTTTGAAAATACAGGTTGTTTTCAGGTTCCACACATCCAATTGATATGCAACCTTTACTTAGGAAATCAAGAAGTTCCTGGGAAACTGGAATTAGTGCTTCAGTAAAATGTGGTAAAGAGAGCAGGTGGTGCCAGCTATCAATCAGAATAGTGTCTGGGGTCTTAAAGGCTTGTATTCCAACAAGCAGCCATCTAAGGGAGGAGTCAAGTAAGTCCAGATGGAGGAAGCACACCAGCTTGTGTGATCCAACTATGACAGTAACTAAATTCAAATACGATGAAGGGAAAAGTATCCGAGCTAACCGTATGACCACCCAATTGGTACAAGACTATGGAGGACAGTGGGAGCCCAAAACCCATCTGCAGAGTATCTAGTTAGATTAAACCGCTGGCAGACCCCCACCAGTTACAGGTAAGGGTCTCGAATAGCCTTGCTATCTGACAGCGATCATTGCCATCTCGATTATGCGTAATCAAACTTGATATTTGGTCAGCTGATCTCCCTATCGACCCAACCTGAATCTGTTCTCCGTGCAAGTATCTCTTGCGCGTTCCATGACGAGAATTTCTTCCATGGCTTTTTTAAATAGTCTTTCTTACTCATTATTTGTATTTTTATCTTGGTATTCTTATCACTTAAGCCTGACCACTTTATTTCAGTTGTGTGTTACATTGTCTCTGTTGGGTTTCGCAGGTGTGGAGCACAGAAGGAGTGGGTGTGTAGTCTGATAACTGGTGTGAGGGCTTACAGGGGACTGATGGGTGAGGGGTGGAGACAGGGAGGGTCAAGGGATTTCAGGAGTAAACAATGAAGGCAGGAGTGGGGAGGGAGCACTAGAACTGATTGTGTTTGCACAGCTCATTTTAAAAGCCATTTAATCATGGGGTGGGGGGTGTTCTAAAATTAATTGTGGTAATGATTGTACAATTCTTGATATGACTGAACTATTGAATTGTATGAAATGTGGATTAGATGCTAATAAAATGTTTTTTAAAATGTGATTAAAAGGTAGAATTTTTTTCACAAATGTTTTGAAGCCCCCACACTTATTAAAATGTGAGGTACATACCAGGTTTCATCTTAACAAACGGGTATTCTTTTGCATCACACATCAAAGCAGTACTGTTGTATGTGTTAAAGATATTCTAATATTCCTAGAAATGTTTGCTCGGTCCTTTTGTGCATGGGAAGGTACGCTCTCTACTAAGGGAAGCATCTGAGTGCTGTTAGATAGAGTGCCTAACGGTTCTGCTGACGTTCCCATTCGACGTAAAGACCACCAGGGCAATGGAACTCTGTCATAACCCAGGGGCTGCCTGAACTCACCTTGCTCCTGTCCATCTGACCCATTTACTTTGTCCGCACTCGGGTATTGGCTGCCATCTATGTGCAGAAGGGTGAGTCACATGGGAGGTCGCACGTTTACATTCCCACCTTGCAGCAGCCTAAGATTGGCATCGGAGGTGTCTTCCCCTATACCCGTTCCTCTGATTCTTATTCACACAGAGTCCTGGCACAGCGACTGGAGAAGTGGCTGCAGCTGATGTTGATGTGGCACCCCCGGCAGAGGGGCACAGACCCCATGTACGGGCCCAACGGCTGCTTCAAGGCCCTGGATGACATCTTGAACTTGGAGGTAAGCACAGGGCCAACTTAGCCCTGAAGCAGTAAGGTCAGATCTGGAGAAGCAACAGACTGTTCGAAGAAAGAACGTCACAGGAAGTGTGGGCTCCTAAGATAGTGCCTTTGTACCGAAGGAAGAGGACCGCTCAGCAGGGCTCAGTGACAGTGGTCTGTGGGGCTGTGGGCACGACAGGAATCTGGCAGACCCGAGGGTGGGAGCCATAGACCGAACTTCCTTCCTCAGGCTAGGTCCGACTGGGGAACGGCAGAGGATCTAGCCGATAAAGGGATAGCTCTGTCGTTGTTGAGATTGTGTCTGCCGCAGTCGATTCTGATTTATGGAGACCCAATAGGACAGAATAGGGTTTTGAAACCCATAGGGTTTCACAGGCTGTAATCTTTATGGAAGCTGATCATTTGGTCTTTGCTCCTGGGGGGCTGCTTGTGGATTTGAACCACTGACCTTTTGGTGACGGCCAGGTGCTTCACTGTTAAGCTACCAGGTGACAAATAAAGGGGCATCTGTGAAAAGATCAATTTTTTCCCCTGAGTAACGTTTGGGTTCCCTTACAGCTGGTTCACATCTTGAACATGGTAACGGGCACCATCCACACTTACCCAGTGACGGCAGATGAGAGTCTGCAGAGTTTGAAGGCCCGGATCCAGCAAGACACAGGAATTCCAGAGGCAGACCAGGAACTGCTGCAAGAGGCAGGGCTGGCATTGATCCCCGACAAGCCTGCCACCCAGTGTATTTCCGACGGCAAGGTAAGCCCCTGACTTCTTGCCAACTGCCCTACGTCTTTGTCCTGCCTTGGCTTGCAAGAGAATGAACCATGCTTCCAGATTTAAACTCGACTTTCTTAGTCAGTCAGTCACTCGGTTCCACCAGGCAGTGACCTCAGGTTTTTTAAGTTGGAATCAGAGGGCCCTTGTGTGGCCTTACCAGTGCACTGATTACTTCCTGCTTTGGGCGGCACTTCCGAACCACTTGGAGGGCCCTTCCTTTGCCTTGGTTGCCAAAGTCATGCTCCATGTTTTGAATCCTTCCACATTATTCATGATGCACCGCTGGGTACAGAACAGTGTGAGATGCCTCCATGGCAACCAAAGCAAGCATCATGAACACATGGCTCCTGCCCGAGGGCATCTGATGAGCTCAAAGAAGCCATCCCTGGGTGAGGAGGCGTGCAGTGAAGCTGCAGATTGCACAGTAGCGGCGATCAGAGAGCAAGAGAGAACGTACGATGGTTGTAAATAAGGCATGTGTTCAGATTGCAGCTGCAAATGGACAGGTTCGAACCCACCAGCCTCCCTGTGGGAGAAAGACGTGGCAGCCTGCTTCCAGGTGGCAGCCACGGAAACCCAGTGGGGCACTTCCGCCCTGTCTCTATGGCCACTGTGAGTTGGAGTTGCTTCGATGGTAGCGAGGCTGGGTTCCGATAATCAGTGTACAAGGAGTATGAAGTATGAGTGTAGGGTAGAGCTATTTAGAAAGGCTTCATGGATGCTTAGAGTTTTTTGGCCACAGATGATGCTATTGGTCATGTGGGGAGTGCCTTGCCATGTCTTCGTTATGAGTTGGCAAAAGGAAGGGGTGGGCCAAGGAGATCTCATTGTGTCCTTGTCCTTCTACAGCCAAATGAGGGCCGCACCTTGGACATGGATCTTGTGTTCCTCTTTGACAACAGCAAAATCACCTATGAGACACAGATCTCTCCTCGGCCTCAACCGGAAAGTGTCAGCTGTATCCGTAAGGACATTGTCGTCTTGTTAGAAGCACAATCAGTAGAATGCATGAGGCGAGACAGGAAGGGGAGGGCCCACAGCTGAGTTTCCCCTGTCCGCAGGGCAGCCTTCTTTGCTTAGGATAGAAGTAGCCCAGGAACACAGTACACGAAGCCGCCCGTTGATCTCAGCTTCATGGGTAGGACTTTAAACAGAGGGCAGAGAGTACTGACACTGTACTTGAATCAGATAGCCATTTTATTGATCTATCTTTGACATTCTGCTTGTGTTTTGATCATTAATACATGTGCACGACACCCCAAATACCAAAAGGTACAAAGAAAGTGCATTGAAAAATAGCTACCCTCTTTGACCAATGCCTCTTCCACAGACTCATCTATTATCAAATGTTTCTGAATTCTTCAAGGAATATTCTCTACACAAACATGGATGTGTTTAGCAAACAATGGCTTACAATACATACTGCCCCTTTCATTGTACAGCATATACCCATTCCTCACTTAGAGACGCAGTATGGTTCCAAAGAACAGGAAACAGAAGATGACCACATCAGATTGAGTATGAAGCTTAGGTAACTGCCGCTGCCACACAGCCAAGAATCCTGGCCCAGCCAGGCTGGCCCACATCCGCCACAGCCAGTGTTACTCTCGCTGCCGGTGGCTTTTCGTCCCAGATACACGTCATTAGTACACAAAGGAGAAAGTAGATTTTTTTTGTGGGGGGGGCTATTATCATAAATGGGAAATGTTTGATAACAGATAGTAAGCGAGGAGGTGTACTTTAAAGAGTTCCCCCATTGGCACACAGAGAGTTGCCTGTTTTTATAAATACTGAAAATGTTGTCTGAATGTTACTTGGTTATTTGAATACATTGCTGCCCCTACACACACACACACACACACACACACACACACACACATCTTATAGATCTTCAGATTATTGTTTATCTGGTCATTTCCAGTACTGCTGGTTAAAGCTACATTTTGATAAGACCTCATATGGCCATATATTTTGGGAACGTAAGCTTTTCCATCAAAATTATATGGGACCAAGTGTCCCTATGTGTATCTCCACATAGCTCATAGAGTTTTCTTCAAATCAATTGCATAGCTATGATTGACTGTCTGAGACATGCAGGTGCCACAATGAATGTGTGAGAGCATCTTTAGGGGGTGGCCAAGCACTGACACCTGAAAAATTCCATAGTGGTATAGTACGTAGATAAATGTCAAAGCACTAGTGATGTGGCAAGGCCGGGCGGGGCAGCTGTGGGAGAGTTATTCTCTGAGAACGGCCCTTGTCTGTGTTTCCAGTTCAGGAGCCCAAGAGGAATCTCACCTTCTTCCACCTGAGGAAGGTGTGGGGCCAGGTCTGGCACAGCATCCAAGCCCTGAAGGAGGATTGTAACCGGTTGCAGCAGGGACAGCGAGCGGCCATGTATGGTGCCAAGCATATTTTGTTTTGGTTTTTCCTTTTTTTAACTTAGTTTATTTTAAATGGCTTCGTGGGTCCTGCCACAGGGAGGTGCCCGAGCCAGGAGCTCAGAAGGCACTATTATTGTAGACCAAAAGGGGAGACACTGGTTTGGACGGGCATGATGTGGCCAGCTAGCTGCATCGAGGGAGGTCCTTTCAGATCTGATGAAGTGAGTGTGGTTCGTGCAGAGAGAGGAGGAGGGTTGCAAGAGGGTGGCCTGGATTGGCAGGACCAGGGCCCATGTGGACCATGGCACAGCTCCCTGCAGTTTGGGTGAACAAAACTCGGCTGACTTTTATGCCAAGGACTTTACGGACTCCCCAGCTCCTGGCCAGCTTGGATTTGGGGCCCTTTGCATTTTTGCTGCACAACCTCACACATGGCTATGGGCTAGGAAAGGGTGCCCTGTGGTTGTGACTGGCAGCCATGACTGCTATTCTTGTCGCATCACTGCAGGAACCTGCGTTGGGTAGTTGAAGGTATTTGGTGGTGGAATGGAGCCTTGGTGACGGTATGGGTAAAGTACTCGGCTGCTAACCATCAGGTTAGCAGTTCAAACCCACAGATGGACTCTAGGGCAGTTCTGCTCTGTCCTCTATGCGTCCACAGTGAGGGGTTTGGTTTGGCTTGCGTCTTGTCCATTGTACGGGAAACGGTCTTAGGTCCCAGAAATGCCCCCACCCACCCCCGGTTCTGTTGCTTGTTTGTGGCCTCTGCAGGATGAACCTCCTCCGGAACAACAGCTGCCTCTCCAAGATGAAGAACTCCATGGCCTCCATGTCCCAGCAGCTCAAGGCCAAGCTGGACTTCTTTAAGACCAGCGTCCAGATTGACCTGGAGAAGTACAGCGAGCAGACCGAGTTTGGGATCAGTGAGTGTCATTCTGTGTAAGGCGTCTGGAGAGACCAGCCCCTTCAATTCCCCCGCCCCGCCCCCTCTTCCTCCACTTTCTTGTCTCCTGGTATAATCGAATGACTTGGTTTTGTTTTGATTTTGTGGTGTTCCTGTTTTGTTTTTTATTTTATTTTTTTCCTACCCCACCCCCCCACCCCAGCATCAGATAAATTGCTGCTGGCCTGGAGGGAAATGGAGCAGTCGGTGGAGCGCTACGGGCGGGTAGGAAACTAATTTGAGCTTTTTTATATCCTTCCCCAGGGGATGAGGCTGATTAGGGCCAGCTTCCTCATTGAGCACTGGGTAGACCTTGGGTGTCACAACTCAAGTTCTCCCCGTCATGCTGCTTGACCTTAATTCAGATTTGCTGGGACAAGGCCAGGAGAGAAGCTAGTAGAGAAGGGAGCACACTGAGGGGTTCCTCGGGGGTCGTCAAATGCACATCCAAAGAGGGGAGTAACTGACAGAGTGAACATAATTCAAATTGAAGATCAAGGACTCGGGTTTTTTCTGGATTTTTTACCCTTGTTTTGAGTGAACATTGGCAAGTTCATCTTTATCTTAATATCTGTCTCTGAAAAGCAAAAAAAGATAAGTAGGGCCCTAGGTGTGCTTAAAGGTGGCTGCTGTATGGAGGGAGGGGAAGCCTTCAAAAAGTTAGTGCACATTGTTTGTTATCTTTTAATTCCATATTTTCCCAGACTTTTTGAAGCCCCTTGTGTAGGCAATATCTTATTTCCCCAGGGAGAATGCTCCCCCACTGCTCACCCTTGGCACTCACATGAAATAGGAAATGGGGTCCAGGCCTCCACACCTGGCAAGACTTCAGAATGGACAAGTTATGAGAAGGACAAGTGATGTGCATTGGACATCTTCTATATGCCAGGCACTGTTCACACTGTGCCTTATGCAACCCCTACTAGACCCTATCAGAAAGGAGCCTGGTGGGAGGTGGAGTAGGTCCACATTGGGCTGCTAATCACAAGGTCAGCTGTTCAAAACCACCAGCTGCTCCAGAAGAGAAAGATGAGGCTTTCTGCTCCTGTGAAGATTTAGAGTGTAAGAAATCCACGAACTGTTCTACTCTGCCTTTTAGGGTCACCGTGAGTCGGAGTTAACTCGATGGCACTGAGTTTGGTTTGGGTTAGTTGCCCCTATGAGAAGAGTCCTGGTGGCTCAGTGGTTAGGCACCCTGCTGCCAACTGAAATGTCAGTGGTACGAAAGTACGAAGAGCTCATAGGGAGAAAGAGAAGACCGTCTGCTTCCCTCATGATGACAGCCTATGGGGCTGTTCTGTTTGATCCCACCAGGTTGCTGTGAATTAAAGTCGATTCAGCAGCAACAGGCATGCCCTATTGGAAGCCTGCTTTGTGGAAGAAGAACTTACAGCTTCGGGATTAGGTAGCTTGTTCATGGATCCCACAGATTCCAGTTCATGTCACATTGCTCGTAGCCAGTCAACAGGGACCCCTCATGTTTCAGGGGGTTAGTTAAGTGGCCTTTCCCCACCAACCTGGCATCTCCGAAGGCTCTCACTGTGCCATTGCTGTTGTTGTTGTTGTTGTTGTTGTTTTCTCCAATCAGGAGAATGAAGTGAAGCATCTGGTGGAGCGAATGATGGCGCTGCAGACAGACATCGTGGACTTACAGAGGAGCCCGATGGGTCGGAAGCAGGGTGGGACGCTGGATGACCTGTGAGTGCCAGCGGGGAGGGGGCCACCCTCACCCCACACACCCGACGCACCCCATGCTGTGCTAGGACTGTTAGGTTTCCCCGGAGTCATCCATCTGGAGTAAGCGCTATAAAGAAGGCACCTCTGGCGAATCACCTCTGCAAATTCCAGAGGTGGGCCAAGACAGAGCCTGGCAAGTACTGGAAGCAGAGACGTCAGTGGAGTCTTGGTCAGCCATTTGGCACTGACTCCAGGAAAGGATGCGGTGCTCAGACCCAGCAGTCCTGGCAGGGAATACCGTGGCACCCCAGTGTTGTCCACGGACAGTCTGGGGAGGGCTGTGTCACAGCGCCTCAGCTGTGTTCTCGGGTGCTCTTACAGAGACCAGACACCTGGACACCCAAAACTGGATGGTGCACAGGCCATTGTTTCCCTCTGAATGACTTGACCCTTTACTCTCCTTTCGTTTTCAATGAAAGTCCTCTTTTGAAATATCAGGCAGTCTCACCCGGGTGACGGGGTAAAAAGGACAAGAGTTTGTGTCCACTCTTGGGCTTGAGTTGTCGAGAAGCACCATGAACTCAGGGGGCCCGGTGATGGTAACTGGGGTCACTGGAATGAAACCAGGCAGGGGGACATCTGAAGGGAGACAGTGGACACACTTCTTTAGAGGAGTCTCTGTGACTGAGCCTGGGAGGTGTCTGAATTCTGACCGTGGGAGAGGGTTTCCCCTAAGTCAATGGTTCTCAACCTTCCTACGGCCACGACCCTTTCATACAGTTCCTCATGCTGTGGTGAGCCCCAACCATAAAATTATTTTCATTGTTACTTCAAAACTAATTTTGCTACTGCTATGAATCGGGTGACCCCTGTGAAAGGGTCGTTCGATCCCCAAAGGGCTCACAACCCATAGGTTGAGCACCACTGCCCTAAGTGCAACTTCACAGTCACCTGCCATACTAGTCTAGTCCAGTCAAGGACGGCTGCTGCGGTCTGATGTCTAGAACTCACTTGCTCCGCCGGCAGGAATGAACAAACTGGTGCTTCAGGTGCGCTTGTGTGATGGCAGATCTAGACAGCACTGTCCCTTATGTGTTTCAGAGAGGAGCAGGCAAGGGAGCTCTACAGGAGACTGAGGGAAAAACCAAGAGGTAAGTGAGGCTTCCTGATTGCTCTGGTTCCATTTTCCTGTCTCCTGTGAGGCATCGGGAGGAGCCCTGGTGACCTAGTGGTTACACGTTGGGCTAACTGCTAGACCAGCAGTTCAAAACCACTAGCTGTTCCTCTGGAGAAAGGAGTTACGGTCTTGGGTCGCTCCGAGTCAGCCGTGAGCGGAAGGCATCAGCACTGTCCGCCAGCTGCTTTGAGAACTGTGAGTCCTCTCCTCCTCCCAGACCAGCGGACTGATGGGGACAGTCAGGAAATGGTGCGGCTGCTGCTTCAGGCAATCCAGGGCTTCGAGAAGAAAGTGCGAGTGATTTACACGCAGCTCAGGTACAACGCCCCTTCCCTGCTCTCTGGTGGGCTGTGGAGAAGCCACAAGGCTGTGTGTGGGCCCACTTCCCTCCCTCTACTCGGCTGTGCCCAGCTGCCTGAAGAAGCTTACTGACTGGAAGTTTGCCATTAAGGGGACTTGGGTTCTCCTGGAGTCCTGAGTGGCGCAAATGGGTAACCCACCTGGGTTGGCGGTTCAAGTCCTCTCAGTGACATGTTGGAAGTCAGGCCTGTTGAGCTACTTCTGAAACACTCACTGTTGAA